GGTTTATAATACAAGATAAATAATGACAGATAAGATTTACAGATTTACAGATTATATAAAGATTGTTTACATAATCTTATTATATCACAATTGCTAATCTTGCTATAAATAACTTGAATCTTTAATAAATTGCAACGTGAATCCACACCCATTTTTCACACAAATTAAATAATTCTGTGCTGGTGTCATCAGAGAATTAAAACATGTTTACAACAATCAGTGTCAATACCTCACTACTTTTTTTACTTTGTTGATCTGTGATACGACTCACCCTGCTCATCAAACCTTTATTGGACGCACTTTGATTGAAAGTCTTAACGTGGGTTATCAGTCCTCTTTCTATAAAAATAAATCTTAGCTTTTTTTAATCCTTTGTGCTTGTAGTCTTCCTTCTAGTACCCTCTTAGTATATATTTGTATCATTCCTTATGTCATCACCTGAAAACTCTTAATTGATTTCCCACTGTGTAAACAAACAACGTTATTTTTACCCCACTGGGAGACATTTCAGCAGCAAGGGTTTGTTTAATGGTTGCATCCACTAAACTGGATTTGAAAAGTTTTTATGACAAGCACTCAACATTTTGCATTTTTAAAATGTTTAGCTGATCTTTCTCTTTTCTTGTTCTCTAAAATCCCTCCCATCTCTCCTCACAGGTGTGTGGGACCCCTGAGTACATCGCTCCTGAGGTGATTCTCCGACAAGGCTACGGAAAACCTGTGGACTGGTGGGCCATGGGCATCATCCTGTATGAATTCTTGGTGGGGTGTGTGCCTTTCTTTGGGGACACACCTGAGGAGCTGTTTGGACAGGTCATCAGTGGTGAGAAAGCAGATTTCATCTGGACTTCTTGTGATTTGTCCTCTTAAGATGTCTTACCTTAACCCAGGTGCTTATTGCAGATGACATAGTTTGGCCAGAAGGTGATGAGGCTTTGCCTGCAGACGCCCAGGCCCTCATCTCTGCTCTGCTGCAGACCAACCCTCTCGTAAGGCTGGGCACAGGTACCGCTTCTGCCTCTGTATTTAAAGCAAGTTTCAGACACTTACATGTTTATGGGGCATTGCAGTCTAACAAAATAAGCCAAACAACCCCCATTCCAAATGGGTGGACCCCTTCGCCTGTTCCAATTTGCATGTTTTCAAAACAAAAACAAGGCTTTGTTGGGCTACTGTATAAAACCTCCAACTCATTACTATTCATGACATTTTGAATTGAAACGTCTTTAAACTTGGAAAGAAAGACCAGTCGGTTGTTTTTAATTTTTTTTTTTTTGGAATTTAGAGCAACCCTGGTTGCAAATTTATTTATATTTAAATTAATGTGTTATTTTTCATTTTTTTAAGCACCTATGACAGTCAGCCAAAACTCTATAATTGGTTTCAAAAGTTACGTCAAAAACTCTGAGTAGAGTTTCTGCTCGTCCAACCTTTGGGGATTGCTTACAGTTCTGCTCAGGTATCTCGAAGTAGCTCTTCTTGGTTGAAACATTTCAATTTTCAAAATATGTAAAAAAAAATTTTAATGTTTTTTAATGTTGGTGAACTCCTCTAAAAGCTAAAAAAAGAGAACAATTGCATCCGTTTTCATAGGTATGCTGAAACAAATTTAAGAACGTATACAAAAGGTTATCGCTGTAAACTTAAGCTGCATTCACACTGAACGCAGCAGGAGCAGTGAGTTTACATGTAAAGTCAATGGTTGACGCGCATCAAGGCGGAGCAAAATGAGCAGTCTGAAGCAGCTGAAGCAGCGACGCAAACGCGCTGCTGCTCGAGATGGAAAAATTGAACTTTTGCTGCTCAACGCGCCGCATCAAACAATTACAGACGCAGCTCTTGTAGCTGGCAGGGAGACGAATACATCGCTGATGATACAGAGCGCTATGATCACTCCTCTGAAACAGCTTATTAACGCCTAAATTAACTTCAAATGCAGAAGCCTGCCGACAAAACATGTTTGCTTTTATTATCCTGGTTGCTGGAGTTTGGATTACATACAGGAAAACCGCCTTCCAGCGCCGCGGCGAACCGCGAGGAGGCGACCGGGCCTGAGATGGTTGTTGAATGGTATTCCTACTGACAGCGCACCATCTGAGTGGCTCCAACAGAAATAATATTAGAAGGCAGGATGCTAACCTGGATTTACTGACTGCAGTGATTAAGTTTTTAGGTGGATTTTCC